TGGACAGCTAGGGGTTGTTACCTGGGGTTTGTTTACCTGGACAGCCGGGGTTTGTTACCTGGACAGCCGGGGTTTGTTTACCTGGACAGCCGGGGTTTGTTTACCTGGACAGCCGGGGGCCTCGCAGGTGACCGTGTCCTCGTCCCTCAGCCTCAGCTTCTCATCGCAGGACAGGCAGGAGGCGCCGGGCGCCGGGCCCAGCAGGCGGGACAGGAGAGGCCTGCAGGAGACATATAAAGATAAAGCTAACCGCTAACAGAACCGCTAACCGCTAACAGAAGGCTGCTTATCTCTGGGGAGCCGCTCTCAGACCAACGACTCCCCCAGATAACCAGCTCAGCCTCAGCAGCTCAAACAGAAGCTGAGAACAGACCTGAGGTCAATTTAGTTCATGTTTCATTAGGGTTAGTCTGGGTTTTAAGGACAATTAAGGACAAGCAGAACCTCTATTACGAGGCCTAAACATACGAATTTTTAAAACATCTGAAGTGAAATACGATCAAATATTCGACTCCACAACCGAAGTAAATTTCCAACATACGTATGATGGGGAAGGCATAGAAAAATATACATAAAATATAGAAATTAAATAAACATAACTAGTGTAAGTTGGTGTAAACTCTAATTTGTCTTGTTGCAGTCTGATATTAAATGATTTTCTCTCTAGCTTGATCTCATATATATCAAACCACTTATTTAGCGTTGGGGTTTGGGGGCAAATACATTTCCAAGTACAGCAGAACCTCTACCTACGATGCCTAAACATACGAATTTTCCAACAAGCGAAGGGAAATTTGATCAAATATTCGACTCAACACCCAAAGGAAACATACGTCGAAGTCATAGAAAAATATATATAAAATATAAATATTAAATTAAAATAAACAAGCTAGGTTGGTTTATGATGTCGAAGTCATAGAAAAATATATATAAAATATTCTAAAAAAATCAGAATAGCTAGTGTAAGTAGGTGTAGGTATCGTGTGTAAAGTCAGAGTGAGTTAGGGCTGGTCCTGTATCTCAGTCTCCACCTCTACCTCCGTTCTTCAGTCTCTGAGCTAAAGGGACTATAAAAACCCTTTTTACTCATTATTTCTTCATAATTTATTTCTGTCTCTTCTAGAAGTCATTTGTTTTCTTGCTATGTGTAATTATCAGCAGTATTTATTAAGGAGTTATCATAGGTTTTTGGAACCAATTCTAGGAATTACAGAGTATTCTGATGGAAGATTTGAACCAACACACCAATATTTAACACACAAGTCGTGGAACCAGTTAAACTCCTATTTAGAGGTTCTACTGTACCTATGTCTTGCATTTGGAAAAAATAAATCATATTTTATTCATCACTAAAGACGGTTCCGTGAATGCGCGTATGAAACTTGGGGGTTCGGTACCTCAAAAAAGGTTAAGAACCGCTGGCTTAAAGTCTTTCTAGTGTTTCTATCTGGACACTCAGGTCTCTTTAACTCATTGGCTGCCAAAGACGTCTATAGACGTCAATTCAAATAGAAACGTTGACTCCCAAAGACGTTTATAGATGTGTTTTATGTTTTTCAACGAGAGTGTCTGGGGGACGATCTGCAAAAGCTTGTCCGTAAATATGGGCTTCTAGACAGAGTATGTAGTAACAAATTGAGCCTCTAGGGGGCAGTGCCACTTTTGATGGGAGATGAGCATAGACTGTAGGCAAATAAGAAAAAGGGAACGGTTCTATGAGAGAACATGTCGCCGGTGAGACGCAAGTCCAGGAAGAACGGAATAAGGTAGAAACACATTTTTTTTCCTGATGAAAGAAGAGAGTCTACTCTTTCTTTTGGTGTGTTCGGTGTTTACATAGTCATAGCACAAACTATTCTGTGGCTCTAGAAAAATCAGTCAAAATGATCAAAAAACTCTGGCAGTATGGGACTCTCTGTTCTGAAAATGGCTGCCAGTCAATGAGTTAAGCTTTGGTCTGTTAATCTGTCTCTGTCTTAGTTTTCTTTCCGTAAACCACTTTGGGTTCTACCGCGTCAGCAGGGCCTGCAGCCGGCGCCGTACGGGTCCAGGTCCGGTTCCAGGTTCGGGCCCGGTTCTGGTTCCGGGTCCGGTTCTGGGCCCCCCCTTTCCGGCCCTTTTCCTGAGCCCTGACGTCCTCAGGGCCCGGCCCAGCGCCCGCCGCTGCTCCAGGATCTGCTGGTGCAGGTAACTTATCCGCTCCTGGGGAGAAGAACACAGCTCAGCTCTCAATGCTCCTAAAATCTGGATCAGTCTTCCTGAAGAGCAAGATGAAGACGGTTTTTCTCCTTGTAGTTAAAGCTTAAGAGTTCTCTTTTGATCAATGATGAGGAAAAGACGGCTAAAGGCTGAAAACAAAGGAAGAAACACAGAACAACAAGGACCAACAGCACGATGTACAGCCCAGAACCAGCAGCAGAACCAGAACCTGATCAGAACCAGATCCTGCAGATAAACCAGAACCAGAACCGGAACTGGCTCCAGAACCGGACCGGACTGGGCTCAAGGCTCCAGAACCGGACCGGGCTCCATACCAGGCTCCAGAACCGGAACAGGTTCCAGAACCAGAACAGGCTCCAGAACCGGACCGGACTGGTCTCAAGGCTCCAGATCCGGATCTGCAGGAGCTCTTCCTGTCTAACCCGGATGCCCTCAGATCTGGGCTCCGCCTCTACTGGACACTGAGATGGAGCCACAGATTTCTCTGCTGTTATCCCGGT